GTTCCCACAGTAACATGTTTCAATATTTCCTAGATTAACATGGTTCAATATTTCCTACAGTAACATGGTTCAATATTCCCGACATTAGCATGTGTCAATAATCCAAACAGTAACATGTTTCAATGTTCCCCACCGTAACATGTGTCAATACTTCCTACATTAACATGGTTAAATATTCCCTACATTATCGTGTGTCAATGATCCTCACAGTAATATGTGTCAATGTTCCACACAGTAATATGTATCAATGTTCCCCACAATGTGTCAATATTCCAAACGGTAACATGTGTCAATATGCCCTACATTAACATGGTTAAATATTCCCTACATTAACATCTGTTAATATTCCCAACAGTAACAAGTGTCAATGTTCCCCACAGGAACAGGTGTCAGTATTCCCTACATTAACATGGTTAAATATTCCCTACATTATCATGTGTCCATGATCACCACAGTAAAATGTGTCAATGTTCCATAGAGTAACGTGTGTCAATGTTCCCAACATGTCAATGTTCCCTAATAAACGTGTGTCAATGTTCCAAACAGTAACACATGTCAATATTCCCCACATTAACATGACACGTGTCAATGTTCTCCACATTAACATGTGTTAATATTCACAACAGTTACATGTGTCATGTGTCAATATTCTAAACGGTAACATTTGTCAATGTTCCCTGCGGGGGCATGTGTCAATATTCACTAAATTAACATGGTTCAATGTTCCCCACAGTAACATGTGTCAATGATCCCTACAGTAACATGTGTCAATGTTCCCCCACAGTAACATGTGTCAATATTCCCAACAGTAACATGTGTCAATGTTCCCCACGGTAATATGTGTCAATGTTCCACACAGTAACATGTGTCAATGATCCCCACAGTAACATGTGTGAATAATCCAAACAGTAACATATGTCAATATTCCCTACATTAACATGGTTCAATGTTCCCCACAGTAATATGTATCAATGTTCCCCACAGTAACATGTGTCAATGTTCCCTAAATTAACACGGTTCAATGTTCCCCACAGTAACATGTGTCAATGTTCCTCACAGTAACATGTGTCAATGTTCCCTAAATTAACATAGTTCAATGATCCCCACAGTAACATGTGTCAATAATCCAAACAGTAACATATATCAATATTCCCTACATTAACAAGGTTCAATGTTCCCCACAGTAATATGTATCAATGTTCCCCACAGTAACATGTGTCAATGTTCCCTAAATTAACACGGTTCAATGTTCCCCACAGTAACATGTGTCAATATTCCCAACAGTAACATGTGTCCATGGCCCCCACATTAACAAATGTAATGGTCCCCACATAAACACGTGTCAATATTCCCTACATTAACATGTGGCAATATTCCCAACAGTAACATGTGTCAATGTTACCCACAGTAACATGTGTCAATGTTCCCTAAATGTAACATGTGTCAATGATCCCCGCAGTAAAATGGGTCAATGATCCCCACATTAACATGTGTCCATGATCCCCACATTAACATGTGTCCATGATCCCCACAGTAACATGTGTCAATGATCCCCGCAGTAAAATGAGTCAATGATCCCCACATTAACATGTGTCCATGATCCCCACAGTAACATGTGTCAATGATCCCCGCAGTAACATGTGACAATATTCCAAACAGTAACAGGAGTCAATACTCCCTACATTACCATGTGTCAATGATCCCCACAGTAACATGTGTGAATAATCCAAACAGTAACATATGTCAATATTCCCTACATTAACATGGTTCAATGTTCCCCACAGTAATATGTATCAATGATTCCCGCAGTAACATGTGTCAATGATCCCCACAGCAACATGTGTCAATGATCCCCACAGTAACATGTGTCAATGATCCCCACAGTAACATGTGACAATATTCCAAACAGTAACAGGAGTCAATATTCCCTACATTAACATGTGTCAATGATCCCCACAGTAACATGTGTCAATGATCCCCACAGTAACATGTGTCAATGATCCCCGCAGTAAAATGTGTCAATGATCCCCACATTAACATGTGTCCATGATCCCCACAGTAACATGTGTCAATGATCCCCACAGTAAAATGTCTCCATGATCCCCACATTAACATGTGTCCATGATCCCCACATTAACATGTGTCAATGATCCCCGCAGTAAAATGTGTCAATGATCCCCACATTAACATGTGTCCATGATCCCCACAGTAACATGAGTCCATGATTCCCATATTAACACGTGTCAATGTTCTTTACATTATCAAGCGGCAATATTCCCTACATTTAAATATGTAATTGTACGTACATAAACACGTGTTAATATACCCTACATTAACATGTGTCAATGTTCCCCACATAAACACGTGTCAATGGTCCCCATTTTAACACTTGTCACCCTTCTAATTTGTAACAATCTTTGTGATTGGATATCTTGCCGGGGTCTATATTTCTATAGACCCCGCTCTGCCGGGGTCCATAAAAGCACGTGCGAGGGGAGATAACTCAAACTAGAATCACTCTTCTTAGCAACAATGATGGCGTCCGACACACACAAGGGTTCGATTGTGCCAATCATTCACAGGATAAAATAGCCTACTTAATTGACAGCAAATTTAACGAAACAGGCAATGAGGGGGGCCACTAGGGTGCTGTTTACAAAGATGGTTGTGTATTGTCCGAAATGTTGCCGGAAAGATGTCCGGTAGGGGCTATTTTGGTAGCAGTCAAGTAAGTTGACCCAAATCGGATCAATGCTTGAATTTTACAGTATCTTACACTTCAAATTAATATTTGTTGTCAGCATATCAACATTTTATGACGACCTATAGCATATATTCCTATAGACCAAAACAGAATGCATAGTCGTCGCACGCACCATTTTTTTTAAAAACGTAATCAAAACACTAACATTTGAGTTTGAATTACGTTTTCTGGTGCTATTCGAACTTTAAAACTAATCATTTGTAGACAAAAAATGGTACATTGCTATCTATTCTAAGGCTATATCATTGTTATTACTGTTTTGTTGACACATTTATTTATTTATAAGTATTTTTGGAAAAAGTGATCCGATTTAGGTATTGTCACCTTAAAACTCAAACTCACAAAGTAACTTATAACTTTGCACAAAAAAAGTATTAAACTATCTAAAAGACTGTCAGGGTGACAAATAAGTTATCTCTGGGTTAAGAGGGGTCTACGGGCTCATAGACCCTATAAAAACCTGACGGGGTCTATGAGCCCGTAGACCCCTCCTAACCCAGAGATAACTAATATTGTCAATATTCCCCACATTAACATGTGTCAATATGCTCAACAGTAACATGTGTCAATGTTCCCCACATTAACATGTATCAATGTTCCCCAATTAATATGTGTCAATATTCCCTACCTTAACAATACGTAAAGATCCCCACATAAACACATGTCAATATTCCCCACATAAACACGTGTCAGTGCTCTCCACAGTAACATATGTCAATGTTTCCCGCAGTAACATGTGTTAATGTTCCAAACATTAACATGTGTCAATGTTCCCCACAGTAACATGTGTCAATGTTCCCCACAGTAACATGTGTCAATGTCCCCCACATAAACACATGTCAATATTCCCCACATAAACACGTGTCAGTGCTCTCCACAGTAACATATGTCAATGTTTCCCACATTAATATGTATCAATGTTCCCCACAGTAACATGTGTCAATGTTCCCAACATTAACATGTGTCAACCCACAGTAACATGTGTCAATGTTCCCCAGAGTAACATGTGTCAATGTTCCCCAGAGTAACATGTGTCAATGTTCCCCGCAGTAACATGTGTCAATGTCCCCCACAATAACATGTGTCAATGTTCCCCACAGTAACATGTGTCAATGTTCCCACAGTAACATGTGTCAATGTTCCCTAAATATACGTGTGTCAATGTTCCCAACATTAACATGTGTCAATGTTCCCCACAGTAACATGTGTCAATGTACCACACAGTTACATGTGTCAATGTTCCCCACAGTAACATGTGTCAATGTTCCCCACAGTAACAATTGTCAATGTTCTTTAAATAAACGTGTGTCAATGTTCCCAACATTAACATGTGTCAATGTTCCCCACAGTAACATGTGTCAATGTTCTCCACAGTAACATGTGTCAATGTTCCCCACAGTAACATGTTTCAATGTTCCCCAAAGTAACATGTGTCAATGTTCCCTAAATAAACGTGTGTCAATGTTCCCAACATTAACATGTGTCAATGTTCCCCACAGTAACATGTGTCAATGTTCTCCCCAGTAACATGTGTCAATGTGCCCCACAGTAACATGTGTCAATATTCCCAACAGTAACATGTGTCAATGTTCCCCACAGTAACAATTGTCAATGTTCCCTAAATAAACGTGTGTCAATGTTCCCAACATAAACACGTGTCAATATTCCTTACATTTACATTTGTCAATTGGCCCCTCATTAACATGTGTCAATGTTCCCCACATTAACATGTGTTTTTCCCGCAAAAGGATCTTACAAAATGTTCCCTTTCAAGGCATGTGACATTGAACGCTTCTGTCAATGACCCGTAACAAGGTTGCCCTCAATTAGCATGTGACAACGTTCCCCTAATTAGTATTCGACAATTTTCCCTAGGTAGCATGGGGCAATGTTCCACTCAATAGTGATTAGCAATGGTCCACCTATTGGCGTGTGATAATTTCATCCTCATCGTCTCCTGACAATTGTTCCTTTCTTTGACATTCGGTATAGTTTATGTAACACAGTGTATCTATAGTAGTCCTTCTGATGAGGGCGACAGACGCCCTTAGTTGTTCTCGTGTTAAATAAGCGATAACGTCTTCGGCCAAGGTACCATCCCTTACATCAATAACGCTAAGAGAAACAATTTTGACAAACAGACCGCAATATTCTAGTTATGATTAACATGTTGAAATACTTGTGATATATGCAATGTATATAAAGACCAAAAGCTAAAATTATCTCTCTATAACAGATGTGGAACATCGTGTGGGTTGCCATGGCAGCGTTCCTGTTGACGGGACCCGGATGTACGACTGGGGACAGCTTCAAGGAACTTGGTACAGACGATATTCTGCGTAAGTACTAGTTAGTCCGTAGTTAACAGTTTCGTTTATCCAGCCAACTTTATCTCCGGAAACTGATGATCAGTACTTAGCTTCAATTATATTCATAACTCTGTTACTTCTTATCAGACCCCATATTCATGAAACTGTTCTCAAGCTCAATCTCAGATTCTGTGTTCAAGCCCGCTTCCTCGTTTCAGAGATAAATATTTTAAATTGTATATGTTTTAGCGATTTTGAGGAATATTGGAGAGACTTGAAATAGATAGCATTTTCATTGTCTAGAATTGACTTTTTGACCTTGACACTTGATTAGCAAGTTACAAGAAAGTTGTTTTGAACGCAGAATCCAAGCTTGAGCATGAGATAGATTTCTTGAATACGGACTCAGATTTTACAATCAAGAGAGTGTGTGAACTGCATTACTCACGCGCATCTTGCCACGATTTCTGATTGCCGAAGGCACCCTCACCGAGACCCGGTTAATATTGCAAAATCCGCATTTACACCCAGAACGAAATTTAATAAACACACAGAGGCATTAACGGTACGTGTCGATGTACGATCAATTTATCAACAAAATGATATAATATGCACTACATACTTCAACATTGGTGCATGTCACATAGATGTACTCATGTTAAAGTTCCGCTACGACTAACGTTGAAACTTGTTGCATATTGTTTTATAATCGCCTTGAAATTTTTCTTCGTTGTCATGACAGTCCTGAATGTTGCCGTCAAGGGTCGACTCGTAGAGCGTCTCACTGACTCCGTCACACGCCTGGAGTCTGCGCGGGTAAAGATGGTGGATTTCGTCAAAGCCTGCTTTTACAACGCCACCTCCAAGACAGACGCGTGTCAGCTGTGTGTCACGGAAGCTTGCGAGAAGCGGTAAGGTCAAGGTCATATACTGGAAGATATGAGGTCAAGGCCACATACTGGTAGAAACAACAAAATGTATTCTTCCGCCAGGGTACGGAAGAGATTTTATAGTATACTTAAAGCCGTAATAGTGACGTGTAGATTTTTATATAATCTTTCAGTTGGATTACGGTTGGTTACTTGAGTGAAATTATTGGAATTTATATTATATATATAAACACGGTTTTTTAAAGTTAAAAATAATTATGTAACCCCCTTTCCAGACTATTAACTGCACGACAGATCTGCCATATCCGAAGCGATGAAATTAAATCAGTAAAATTATGTTCCTGTTATCAGTTTTGCTTCAATAAGAAAAATAACTCGCTTCGAGTATTGCCATACTAACCGACAGTTCTTGTATAGTACAGATATAGTAAACTATACAATATTGTTTTTAATAGCGCCATGGAGTGTAGTCTTGATGTGGCAGCGATAGAGACGATTTCTGTCCAGACGAAACCTGATCGCATCCCAGAACAGCAGATCCCGGGGGTACAGTTCCTGACGTCACCATTTCCAGTTGAAATGGGTCTGGAAGGATTCACAAAGAACGCCGAGGAGGATATCCTAGAGAACGTACCATCGGCGCTCCGCTCTCAGGGGAAACAACTCTTACAGAAAGCAGAGGGCAAACTCCAACAACTTCAGGTTTGAGCATACTCTGGAAAGACCAGCTCTTCCTTCATCATTAAAATACAAGATTTCTGCTCTCGATAAGTTGTCTTGCAATTTGTTGCCATTTTGAAATCATTTCCAAGTTGGAGAGTTACTTTATTCGGTGTATGGGCACATTCCGCTCCGAAATAATTCAGTCCGCTGTACTTTTTTCGGAAGTATGCAATGCAAATTGGCGCTGATGACGATGTGTCGGGGAACCTTAAGACATCTCAAAATGATTTCCAGAAAGTTGCCCTTCTCGTCCTTCATAAACTAGAATATTTGTTAACATACATTGTATACCTTGTAGACATTCTATGTTACGTTTTCCTAACTTGCTTTTTAGGAAAACCTGAAGAATTCCGTCCAAGAGCTCCCAGGACTAATTCCACGCATGCGTGGAGCTATCGAGAGTGTGAGCACCGATATTGACGTAGAGTCATTAATGGGCGTGGCTGACAAAGCGGCAGACTCGATATCACACGTGATCACAGACAAGAACGTGAACCTGGCCGTGACGTCCGTCATGGAACAGATGCCGACAATAGTGACCCAGATGAATAAAAAGATGCAGCAGCTGACATCAGTAATGAGCAGCTTTGTCTCTAACGCTGTGGATCATCTCGGAGAGCTGATGAGTAAGTATGAAACCTCGCATCGGTTCCGCTCTTCATATAATTTCTTCTCTGCACTCCAAGAAAAGTCCTCAAAATCCATAGGTAACGCTGTTTAACGTTCTCCGCGCCCCTGGAATAAGAAATGACTAAATCGAAGGTTCTGTAGGGGCCACGTTGTGGACGATACGATGCTAGTTTAATCGTCTGATGTCAACCAAAAGAATCGCGCTGCAGCATAGTGGTAAAATTAACAGGCGTTGATGTCAGTGGTGACATATTTTTTCTTACCGGAAACCAATCGAATAGCTAAACGCGTGTCTTTGATTCTGTTATGACATATTCCAGACATGGTTTCGAGCATAAAATCCTGACAAGATGCAATGCTGATACATGTCTTTTGAAGACTACATTGGAACTATATCCTACCTCGACACCGGCCCATTTTACCGTTTGGCTGTTGCCCTATTCCTTAGATCTTCATCAAAGAAATCAGAATAGTCTACTTGTTTCATCTATAAGATATCGCGTCTTTCCTTTTGTCATGTCATATTCCAAGAGTAATAGAGAGGAAGGATCATGAGTAAGTGAGGAAGAGGAGAGTTCAAAAGTAAGTGCATGAGAGAAGAGGTCATGAATATACACGCTAGACAAAATAGTTCTTTTGTTATAGAACGGAGAATGTATGAGTAAGTGAGAGACTTGTAGTTCAGGAGCAAGTGCTTGACAGAGGATGCGCTCAAGAGTGAGCACTAGACAGATCAATACATCACTGATCGATAGGGGATTGAGTAAGTTTTAGACAGAACAGTCAACTGGTAAGTAGTAGATAATGAGGCACCAGAGCTCTCTAGAAAGTACTTGATATTTGACCTCAAAAGTAAGTACTTTCCATTGGAGCTCGTTTATAAATAACTTGTGGGTAGCTCCAAGCTCACGACTAAGTACTAGACAGAGATCGGGACATCATGTAGTGCTTAATCGCCGATCGGAACTCAGTGTAAGCGCTATACAGTCATAAGAAAAAGTAATGAATAGGGACTCAGAGCTCACGAATAAGAAATTTCGGGCTCGGGGCTCATGAATAAATAATGAATATCGTGATTAATAACAAGACAGTGTAGCGCATACTGATAATACAAGAGAGCATTTGAGCAGGTGTTACAGACAGGGGTTTGAGAACAGGTGTACATTTTGTGTGACGTCATAAATGTTAGATTTCGTTTACACAGATACTCCCATCCCAGTACCAGTCCGGAGCTGGGTAGATAGCCCGGATGGCCAAATAAATGCATCAGAGGACATGGCGGAGCCAAGCTCAACGTCACAGCGCCCGCGCAGTAGATGGGTTGTAAAACACTTCCGGTTGGGCGGGAGTTCCAGTGGAAGTGCTCAGGGCATCTTTCTCAGCAGTGGCGGATTCACAAGGCTGAAGAGGAGTGCGGTGGATTGTAAGGACGTGTCACATGACCCACAGGAGGCGTGTAAAGCATTCCACTTCCAGTGCGCAGCGTGTATGGACAATACCGCCATCCTAAAAGAATGTAAGTTCGGAAGGGCAAAATACTGTTATCGGTTACAAGTATATGTGATTTCAAATTGATTTTTAAAAAAAAAATGAAAATATTCTGACTTCAAGCCTACATTGTATAGCTTAAGGATTTCTCTATGAAAGATAACGATGTGGTTTTTTTTCCTCCGGCAGAGCCATTTGATATTATTTTGGATTTATCGCGTTATTTGACTCATACAGTGCAGACTGAATGCAGCTGGCGCGTTTTATATTGGTTCACAAAACAGTATCTAAAAAGGAACAAACTTATATAATTGTGCCTTTCAAAATGGCGACGGGCTATATAACTAGTACACGCTTCGTATGTTTACTACTCTCGTTCTACATGTTCATCAACATATCAAATCTGTGCTACACACGTGTTACATCATTCCGTTTATTTTTAGCGTGCGGGAAAGACTCTATGCGGATGATGCTTGCTATCAAGCGAGTGGATATGAAGGCTGCGGACTATCTGATGACGTACTCAAAACACATCAAAACCGGAATTATAGTCCTAAAGGTATCTGAAACACTAACTTTATACACTGTACATGGCTTCTCCAGTGAGGGTGCTCGCATTGTTACTCATCTGTAAAAACGACCTTAAAGGGTTTTGGCCACGAATTTTTATAATTTCATATTTTATGATCATTTGTTGCAATAATACATGTAATGACCGAGACCCCGTCTTTCTCGGCATCAGTAGATAGACAGGCCAGGTGACGCCCCATCTATATCAGCCTAATGGATGTGCATATTTTGAACCCGGTACGTGATCACGTGATCTTGGCCAATATTCCTGATAGTATATTCCGGACAGCTGTTTTCTGTATTACAGTTGTATATTATTTTTTTGTCATTCAGAAGTTATCGGGTGTTCACCATTGGTATTTCTACAGCTCGTTATAGAAAGATAAGGATTTAAATAGCAGACAAATATGTATATGATTGAATTATAAATTGTAGTTCTTTGCACGTATAAATACGTGGTCAGAATAATATGGAAGTTTTGATTAAGTCCTCGCATGAAGCAGTTTCATGATTGGTCATTTGGTAATAATACTCGTTCTGTGTATTGATATCATTATAGCATCTACCTGCGGAACTATACAGCTACCTCGACTTTGAAAAATATTTTTTTAGTTAAATTTTCAAAGACTGGAAATACCCGGACTAACGACAATTCACTCTTTTTTAGCTCATATGGAAGAGGACAACTATTTCAATAACATTTCACTCGATACTTAATTGTTCTTCAGAATGTTCCATTGGTACTGTGTGTTTTGTTACATTGGCTCTGCTTTTTTGCTATAAACGAGTTTAATTTATTATGAAACACACGTGTAATAGGTAGGTGATGATACAGGGAGGGGATTGCTTTGGCAACCATATTGGGCTTTTTTGTGCGCCCATGTGACCGCATTTATTTATCTAACCTTGTCGATTGTTTTTTTTCTCTCATGGTTGAGTCTCGGTATACAATGCTCTTGCTGGTTCTATAACTGTTCGTTATAGTGTCATACAAGAGTTTGTTTGAGCGAGATTAGTGAAATTCACACGACGAATGTCTTGCCATGAGTTAGCAATAGTTGGACGATGTCATTTGTTATTCAGCAAAATGTTTATGACTTCTCTATAAAACTTTTTGTTTCTTTATGACAGGTTAAATATGACGAAAACAATTTCGATCCTCGGACGTCCACGTACAAAAATGCTTACGTCACAGCAAAGGTTCGGGACGAAGTCGTCACATACAAAACATCATCCTTGCCAAATCTCGCCGACTTATCAACGTCTGGCGGCGAGATCGGAGACGAGATTTGGATGATACTAGACGAAGATGAACACACTACAGACGGTGTTAGCAAGAAATTAGACAAGGTCGCACACGACAGCGGAAGTCATGATCATGTGACAATGGGTCTTAAGCATTATGGGACATCGGATGCGTCCACAAACAGTGTAGTGTGGGGTGTGGTTGGTTTTATAATGTATCTTGGGTTAGTAGCTCTTTAACGTTTTTGACAGATACAACTACATCTGTACCTGTATAATGTCGCAAAGAGGATTTATATGACAGTTTGTACACCTATGGCCTTAGTCGGCCTCTTCTCGTACATAAAAAGACCCATGGATTTCAACTTTTTGTTACATCTGGCATTTTCTTTCGTGAGACAATCATTACAGTTAATCAAAATATGATTGTCAACTTCACATACTTCAACTTATCAATACAAGTCATCGGTGCAATTGAATTATTTTGGCTAATGAACTTGACACATTCGAAAGGGGCCAGATTTCCGGAAACACGAAACAGAATGGATATTGCATTAGAACTATAAGTGATACAAAGCCATATTATTGTGATAAGTATAGTGGCAACGGCAAACACAATGTCTGCTTACATTGGACTCAAAACGTTCATTCATTCTCTCTACGGTCATGGCAAAAGAGGGCGCGCATGGTGCAAGCACGTGATACGTGTACATACCTGAGGAGTTGTATCAAAATACGTATTGCTACAGTGTAATATCGTTACAAACTGACTGCTTCAAACATGTCTTTTCTATGATTTCGATGCCGTATACATGTTTTCATCTGCAACAAAGACAATGCTAACACATAGAGCGTTGCTACACAGTAAGGGCGGGAGTTGCATTCTATGTCTGTGTAAACGAACACGAACGTTTTGGTGCAGTTATTATTATTTAATTTCTTTCTTTCCTTTTTTAGCTCACCTGGCACGAAGTGCCAAGTGAGCTTATGCCGAGGTGCGGCGTCAATATTTTACTTTAAACGACTTCTTCTTAATAACCGGAAGGCCTAGGGTGATGATATTTGGCCAGAAGCAAACTGGGATGAAGGGCTACCAAGTTTGTTCAAATAAATTACTTTCATCTATTTTCAAGGTCACAGGGGTCAAATATGTTAAAAACTTTAAACAACTTCTTTAGAATAACCAAAATGCCCAGGGTGATGATATTTGGCAAGTAGCATGCTGAGATAAATGGCTACAAAGTTTGTTCAAATGAATGACCTTCTCCCATATTCAAGGTCACAGGGGTTAAATATGTTAAAAACTTTAAACAACTTCTTCTCAATAACCAAAATGCCCAGGGTAATGATATTTGGCCAGTAGCATGCTGAGATAAAGGGCTACAAAGTTTGTTCAAATAAATGACCTTCACCCATATTCAAGGTCACAGGGGTNACTTGTTCTGAATAACCAAAAGGCTCAGGATGTTGATATTTAGTTAGTAGCATATGCTGGGATCAAGGACTACTATGTTTGTTAAAGTGAATGACTTTGACTTATATTCAAGGTCACAGGGGTCAAATTTGTTTAAAATCTTTAAACAACCTCTTATGAATAACCATGGGTCCCAGGATGTTTATACTTTGCAAGTTGCATCCTGAGATGAAAGGCTATACAATGTGTTCAACATAATGACTTTGTTCGACTTTCAATCACAGGGGTGAAATGTTTTAAATAAAATTAACAGGGTCTTTCGAACGAATTTTAATCATAAATACTGATATTTTGCCTGTAGCTTTGTTTTAGATCTCTTTTAAGGTTACAAGTGTGAGATTTATACCAGGTGAGCGATGCAGGCCCATTGGGCCTCTTGTTTAAGTTCAGCAATCATAAGTAGTATACCTAGATTATTGAATAAGTTTTTTTTTTTTTTTTTAAACTCCATGATGTTCATAAAGTCGTGAATAGAACCATGATTATCCAATCAAATTTCACCAATACTGCACTATCAAGTATATGAGATGTTGAAGCGGTGTGTAAAAGTGATAACATTGTCGTTACAAAGTAGTGCTGGGTATCTTACCGTTTATACAGCTACGTAGTGTGTACACAGGTAAATGTGTTTTCTCTTGCATTTGTATGAACCAGAGATGTTCACACTTTAGGGACACGAACTGACGGAACATCAATGCATAACTGGTGGGGGTATCACAGGTGGTTCATCGTTACATGATGTGTGATTAAGGTTACATGCTACCTTAATCAGATATGAATCTCCTTTTGCAAAAGAGTTCTGAAACGGTGTCTCAGAATATCTGCCTTAGTTATCGAGCTTTTAATCAGGAGTACATTTTAAACAAAGACTGATAATTCACAATTGTTTCATTATGGATTTTGTAACGGAGATACAAACGTAGAAGTAGAAACAGATATAGGGGATTTCCGGTAAGGGGGTGTCACTCCTGACATATATGTAGTTACTGTTACAAGTTCAACATTACTGTAACATGTCTTTATTGAATGCATTGCAACAATCTGAAAATTATTTATTATTTGTGAACATAAACTAAAAATGTAAGAGAGCAAACTCGAATAAATCACAGTTTGTAAATAGGTGTAATATTGCATATACCCTTAAGGTAATTACGTTTTAATATTAAGCATTTTTGTGCAGCATTTTCACCTAGAAACGTTTTTCTACAATGTTGGAAAATTGCATATCTGAGACGTTAAATTTGTAATTACTTTTTTTTCAATTCGTCAACATAATTAATGATAAATATGACACAACTCAATATGTAAAACGTCCGTTGTAATTGATATTTATATTCCTATATGTATAGTTATTTAAAGTTGCTAAAAGTAAACGTTGCTTATCCGAAATAATTTGTGTTTTTTATTTGTGTTAAATTTACATCTGCTTTAACATTATAGTTGAGCTGCTGTTTGCAGTTGTCATTCAAAGCATATCTACCTATTCCAAGTGAAAAAGAATACAAACTATGCCCTGGGTAAACTTGTCAAAGGATAACTTCAAAAGTAAAGCATAGGTCACAGTGACCTACTTCTTATACTTGACACTCCACCATCCTAGTATGTACTTGCCTACCAAATGCCCCAGACAAACTTCTGCTTGCCTTGCTTACTTTACCATTAAAAAAACTAAATGTGCATCCACAGAATTAGAAGTTTGTCAGCATCCCTTTGTTGAATAGTAAGAGATAATGGATCTGGAATATGTTCCATGTTTCCAGATGTTGGAAGGAACCAAGAAATGGCTGTCATCGAACTGTTATCTTGCTGAAGCGTAAACCGCGCCATATTTGAAACAAGTATCAATCCTCTGAGCCTTTTTGAAATTGTATTTGCTAATTTATACGCAGTCCGAGTTTACAAAAGCTTCAGAAGTATAAATATAACACAATACTCAGTAAACAAATTTATTACACACCAGTTCTTTTTCAAATGTCACACAAAATTTCTCTGATGAAAAAAAAAGATCGTTGATATTGGTACATTTCTACATGTTTACATTACGGTACTATCATGTCGGTGACACATCTTTTTTTCCAAAATTGTTCACTTCAGGTTTTGGCCTTGTTTAACCTTGGGTAATACCATTGTCTTGCTTCTACCTCTAGTATTGACTCTGACCTTTCATCACACATATCAACCTTGAACGACACGACCTTTCACCTGAGTTAATATGGAATAATCCCTAATTTTACCAAGTTTGGGTTTGGGGATTGTAGTAGTCCTTGAACTTGTAGCCAGGGTGCTGAAACATAAAACATGTACAAAATGAGAAAGTATCTGTAATATAATGGTCTTAATATAGCGAATCAAAACTTTCGTGAAGATTTTTCTTTTGGTGATTTTCCCTTCCAATGACATATCCAATACATTTTAATTCAAAAACCCAATACATCTTCCTTGTATACGAATAAATTTTGACAAGTTGTTTAAATTTGCAGTTGTCTCTACAAATAAGTTTTGAATTATTCAAACTACAATTGTTTACATACAGTACAGTGAAAGCATATGGTTCCAAACAAAGTAGAAATGATGCAAAAACAAAGTGACTATGACGAACATTTGACGATAAACAATCTGCGTCAAAGGAACTTTCACAGCACTGTATCAGCTATAAATCTAATACAGTGTACATGCATCTGTATGAGGCCATATTGAAACCGAAACCAAACTTCAAAATGGAGCAGAAAGGTTTTTACTTACCTGTAAAATTTCAGCCTCCAATTCTTCCATATCAACTGAACCATAATTTAACTCGTCAATATCTGCAGGTACACCTATTTCAGCAAACATAACATCCCAATGGCTCTTGAACCTTTTTCCATACCTGTATGTGACAATGAAAATTGGTTAACGATTTTCTCATCTATATAAAATTTGAATACAAACATATTATAACTCCCAAATGACCCAACGATGCATTATATTTCTAGGCCAAGGAATAAAATGAATACCCAAAGAAATTGCAACAGAAATCACGTTTGTGTTTTTTTTTTCCAGACGGGTCTGTAGAATCACAGAAAAAAAGTCCTGAAAATTTGAGAGCAAGGAAATCAGTTATTTTAGGGTTAAATGTAAGAAGTAACCCTGACCCTTTGTAAGTAAAAGTGTTTCTTCCTTGTGTTCTATCTATGGGACACTAAAACAACCAGGAATAGACCTGCTGAGTCCCAATCCCAATGCACGTGTATTGTAAAGGGCGACTAATGTACGTAGACCTCGGCAGACTCGGGGTTTTTCTTCCTTGTCCTCTACGAAGGGGACATGAAGTGACCGAAAGTCATATAAAAATTCTATGACTTTTCATGAAATATTTTAGTGTTTTTTTCTCAGAAATTGCATATATATATTATAATATAAATTATTTACTTTTGAATTACAGTGAGTTTTTGTTTGTTTGTTTGTATATTTTCATTGATTTACTTTTGCTTAGTTTTTGAATTCCTGAAGTCTGGGTCCAGTCTGTCTGGTTATATTTTATTAGCTCAACAACAAAACTTCATGTTTGATAAACAGATTTATCAGAGATTTTTTCAGGCCGTAAACGATGTCCCTCAGTTGTTAATTAGTACCACAGGGGCATGGATCGCTTTACTTGTAATATAAAATATATTAGTATAGGAGACCCCTATTTTTTATATTACAAGTAAAGCGATCCATGCCCCTGTGATTAGTACAAAGTAAGCAAATCCTTTATCTATTGTATTTTTTAGCTGAAGTTACAGTTATATTCATCAGCCTCAAAGTTTAAAAATCGTCTGAATTGATGGTAAGGCTGCTAGTAATCCAGACAGATTTCCCCTCAAAACGAAGAATAAAGCTGTTTTTTTTCATTTATTTTTGACTGTTACATAATTTTTTTAGTGCATTCCACTAAATAACAGCAAAACTAACTATTTACTCATTACCAGTTGAGGGAAAGGAGAAATATACGGAAAAAAAAACATGTTTAAGAAACAAGTCTTATACACTTGCCCTGGGAAAGTGGGCCTACTTTCTGCAATTGCCTGAGCGCCAAAACTGGTTGTCCCGGGCACTGGGCTAGTGGATTTGTACACCCCTTATGATGTTAGTAGAGACAATGAATTGTGACGGGATGGGAAAGGACAAGAGACAGGATTAACACGGGTTTTAACACTATCTGTACTTCTCCCATATTAAATGGTGGGGCTATACATACTTCAAAATCCTTTTTAAAATTACAAGAGGGACTGTGTAACAGAAACTCTTCAGTCTACTTACCTGTAACGAATGAGACTCATGTCAACATTAAATGGAGGTTCCCATTCAATGAACTTGTTGTCTTCATTAATTTTCGGTCCATCCAAACTGGTTTCATTCAAATCTTCAAAGATCTATAAAACAGGACAGAGGTCAAATCAGAAAATTGTCACTATTGGTAATTTTAAACAATTCAAGGCAGGAACAAAAGGTTTAAAAGCATTGGTTCTTCTGGCAAGTGAGTTTGAAAAGGTGACAAGAAGATGCTGTCACTAACATGTCCTGCTCGTAAGTGTATTGTTTGTTTGTATAAGGTAATAGGATTGTGACACCATTTCTAAGTAGAATTTCTTCAAATTTTGTACTTATATTGCTTTGAAGTAAAGAAAATCTTCTGCCACAAAAAAATATAGGTTGTCAGAATTTTAAGGATTTTAAATGGAAATTTATGTAAAAAGGAGTGAATTTTGAAAAAAAAAATGAAACACAATTTTTTGCAAAATAATGTCAATAAAAATGATACTGACATATATTAGTATTGCATTAATGTATATCAGTTTCATAAATGCTGAAATTGTGTAAAATTAATTATCTATAAACGATTAAAACTTGGCATTTTATAATAAAACCATATACACATAGTAATTGCATGTACAAGTTATCGTTCTTGAAAAACTTAGTAGTGAAATAGGTACCCGGTTTCCTGAAGTACAGAAAAATGGACACATGTGACTCATTGATTAAAAAACAACTGAATTAATACCTGGATTGCTTTGAAATACTTTAATATTGAAAGAACACGCTGTTCTGTCAATAATAAACATACGATATTCATCAGTTTAATATTAAACATTAGAATATGCGGAAATTGTGATACTGTCTCCCTACATTGGATTTTCAACTAGGGATGTACTTCCTATTTCCGTTTAGCAATACACTCCTATGACCTTAAGATCTTTGCAGTAGCTCAAGTCAAAAGAACACAGTTCCAAGATCGGTGTAGAAGTCAGAATAAGACTCCCTAATTGTGACGCAGACTAGCATACTTGGTATTATCTGTGATTAGTACAAAGTGCTAAACTTCATAATGGTACTTTTCCTATAATTTTGCAGGGTCATCGATATCGTAGCCATTGAATCATGGTAGCCAGTTAGCCAAAAAATATCTTCTGGTCGTGCAATCAGTTAACCATTTCACCCCTATATTACTTCAGGAGTGAATGAGTTTTAACTTAAGTGCAGTAACTATTGGTAAAATTAAGCATCCACAACAAGCACAGTCATATTTAAAATTCAAGGGTTTGTGATCCAGATACACCACCTATCTTCTCTACACCCTTGGAATATGTCATGACGAAATTGAAGGCTCTCAGCAACCCTGCAGGTGATACACATAGGCTAGTTTGATTGTTTGACGTTACATCACACGAATCATACAGCAGCTTAACAGTAAAGTTGTCCAGGGGGTCAAGGTCACAGTGAACCTGACAAGAAGTGTGTTTTGGTCTCTCTAGAATAAATCAGGAATACACTGGAAATACTGGAGTATACCTGATGAAGTTGGTCATAGACATTCTATACCTACTATAGTATGTTACTGTAGTGTTGGTGAAGAGAAAAAATCTGCAAATTCAGTAATTTTACCACAAAAACATTTGAGGACTGACTGAAGCTCACCATGGTTCAGTGACCACAGTGCTGACCACTGTCAACCATACCCTTGGAGAACACAGGTAACCTACCTGTATAGTATACACACATACATATGGACATATACAGAAGCACTATAGCTAAGTTATCTGTGTTTCAATGATTTTGTGAACATGACTTCCACTAGGAGTTCATCAAGCTCAAGTAATAGTAAAGGACATGTGAAAGCTTCCCAAAGTTATTCTGGAAGATAAAGTGATGTGTCAACCAGGTTACCGCGAGCGGTATATAATACGCCCGTCACACATTGAATGAGCAGTTGTTTGTATGATTGAAATATATGAAGTATTTGTGAGTAATTGATATTAAAAGAGAAATCATTCAACATAACTGGTAGATCAATGAGTGCAATACAACATCATGGAACGCATGCATCGCATTAATGAAACCAAGGGTAATAACTCCA